TATTTCAACACCAGTGGATCGAGTGGTGTGGGATTTTCCTCGTCCCAAACACTGGTTTGAGACTTTATTCAGCGATCGATAAGGGGACTTTGATGATGAATCGATAAGGGGACTTTGATGATGAATGGAAACGTCATCTGAGAATTTCCAAACGGACTTTTCAAGCCATAGTGGAGAAAATTGACCCTGAAATATCGAAAGAAAACACCAGAGTTCTGTTCGCGAGGATAAATGAGTATTTCTCAGAAACAAAGCTTTGCACATGCATTAAAATACCTGTGCAACAATATTTGTGCAAGTACATGATTGGCTTACCTGACAAGCTTTAGATAAATCTCGACCTAAGTCCTACTCTTTTAGACGCTTTAAAATGCGCTTTAGGTGTTTTAAGTCTGCCGCTTCGTCAGGAGGCGCCAGTTACATCCTCGTCGGCCGTGATCTCGAAGACATCTTTTGCAGTCGCACTTGAGAATTAGCTAAAGCGTGATTAGAGGTGCCTTAATCGTGATCAAACTCTGTTGTACGACCACAGCCATTGACGGCTTCCCTTATCTATACAACTGACTACTAAAAAGCGGAGACGACAGTGCTTAGCGACGAACTGAGTCTAAAATAGTGATGAACAGGACCACAAAACACGATCACTGATCATAGCCGCTTTGTGAGCGCTTTCGTCAGATGACCATTGTAAACATGTTTCTGATGTTATAGCCACCGTGGGACTAAGCTGTCCCTAATCGTGGTAGCCAATTGTTGACCTCTAAGATTCTTTGTCAAGACGTACATCCTTAGAAAATAAACTTTTAAATTATGTATAATTTTAGACGTAAAGCCAAGCGATGCGAAGTTGATCAGGATGATTCGGAATTAGGTGAGTCCATGCTCTGTGCGCATGATCGTCTCTGTTCCAGCTGGCGACAAACCCACATAGATATCATATCCACTTTACCATCATCATTTGATGCAATGAAAGGATGAGCCTGGAGTATAAAGAAAACACAAACGGATCCGTTAAGCGAATGAAGCGTGATAACAACAAGAGGGGGAAAATTTAATTAAATTTTCACTCACCAAAACCGCTTCTGGAGTCAATCTTGATATGGGATTTTTCTGCATGCTGATAGAAATTGAAATAGTCTTTTGAATACTAAATAATATTGCAGAGAGAACACAGATCCATAAGGACGTAGAGAAATTCGGTTCAAGATGTGTTAATTAGGACTAGTAACGTAACGCACCCCTCCTCCCCCACCCCAGGAAAAAAATAACCACGAATTGGGCTACGTATGAGCAGTAGTGATAGAAACACCATACTAAGTGCAGCCTTGAGCCACGTAAGCTAAAATCCACAGCATACAGTTGCAGTATCCGACAGGTGATCTGGCAACGAATTGCTTAACATGTTCATGAAAATTAAGTACCTGGAGCAGGCCTGAACCATTCAGAATGTGCCTAGATGTAAATCAAAATCTCTCTCTACAGGTAAATTCCCCATTATTTTCAGGCTTGGATTTGGTAGCAGTAGCGAGATAATGCAACCCAACAACACACACAACAGGATGATGTTAGAAATCAATAACGTACCACTGAGACACGAAATCCACAAAAGCTGGTGAGAATTTGTCCTCAGGTAACCGCGGCGGGTTCTTGAGACGCGGAGAGAAGCAAACAAATATTAAATCAAAACTAAGCATCCTTAAATAGGGGTAATGCCTGTAGAGCAAATGAGAATTACATTATGACAGCGAGATCATATATGAAAGACGACCCTTCCTTTCGGGGTACCGAACTAGAAATGAAAACATTAAATTTTGCTTACCTCGTGAACGATGCATTGAAGTAACGGTATTGGCTGCAAACAGAATTACAGAAGGTTCGTCTTAAGCAAGGTCTTTCTAGCAGTTGTCGTTGCTTGTGATGTGACTGTTGTTTTCATTAATGTTTCCTGAATGGTGACGATGGTGGGGGGATCTTAGAGTGTAGTTTCACGATCTCATTCATATACAATATAAACCGTTTTCACCGATTTTTTTCGTTGAATTGTAACTTCAATGAAATCATTTGAAACTTTACTTTATGTCTTAATAGATGAGACAGTCACAGTTAGGTATTACTGCAGTCTAATACATCGAGACTACAGCACCGCCTATAAATCATAGGGGCATCTGAAGGTGGGGAGGAGGAGAGGGGACGTGTGTGTATTACCGTTCAAAACTCCGAGTGAACGTGACCTATTCATTAGCCGCACCATGATCACTCTTAATCGATAGAAGTTGGCTTTGAATGACCCATGCCATTCGAAAAGGGAGGTAAAAATTTGAGAAATAAAATCTTATCAACCATTACAATATACTTGTTGTCGCTTCAGCGTCGCGATTCGTGGATTTGACCTTAGCAAATTTAAACACGGCTTATGGTCGTAAACCGCAGTTTAATCTCGTGGTTCGTTTGTGAACCAAGCAGACATGAACGCGTTATGCCCGTGCAGTTAACGCGGATCACGTCTGTTGACGTTCCTTTGATTTCAGGCTGTAGTGTAACGGGTTAATTAATATTACTAAAATTATTCAGGATTTCTTAGTTTATCACGATCTATGTGTGTGCAAAATCAACATTCACCTGATTCAGTCGCACCATTGCTGCACATAACATTTGCACAATAAACATTCGACGAAGGAAAAATAAAGGAATCCCAAGTACATTCGTCTAACGCTGATTCATTTCCATAACACCTGAAGTTTGCAAACAAAAATGGCAAAGTACTTGAGCAAAATAATCGGCTTCCCGCCAATGATGCTGCGGTGTATCCTAGCTGCCTGCAGACAATATTAGCATGTTTTATATCCGAGCCGGAGGCGTAAATTGAACCCCAAATTCCTTGATAATAAACCTCCACTCGTCCCATATTTGACGAAGGAGATCCCCGTAGCCTAACCAGCATTCCTAGGTGTAAAAGAGAGAAACAAGAAAACTTATATTGACCGTGAAGCATAGTCGCCTTTATCTGAAGATTAACTGACACCGTTGGATTCGCCGCCACCTCAGGTTGGAATTTTCCTTACAGAGAGCGAAAAGTTGTCTGTCGTTCATTTGCGGGAGAGAGACTATTGTTGAAAAAGCAAGAGTACTGATATAGTAGAAGTAACGCAAGGACCAACTGCTTGTATGTGTTGTTAAGATTCGTTCACCCAATCATACTGAAGTGTTAGTTAAAATTATAAAGTCAAACTAAACTCTACGTCCACTTCGATCGAGATTCTACCTTTAGAATGAGAAAATCAAAAGGAATAGCTACTGTATGCGATGATCTCGATTGATTTACAATTCTACCTCTCGTTTACAATCAGTCAGGGGTTACATGGGACTTCAAAGCTTGTGGAAGTGAATCTGGCAAAATTCTTTTATAAGCAAGTTCTGTAGCATGTGGTAATACAACGCATAAGCGTTAAAAAAAATCAAAAGTACTGTAATAACTACAAAAAAGACATTCTCAAACACCTAACTCACATTCAGCTCGGATACTACATGATACGGAATCCTGGAGAAACGATGTGGTCCATATGAAAGTGACTTCATTCTCACTGACCCTACGTCATTAAGGCAGTAAAAAGTACGTACGAAACAGCTTGCAATGTGAAGAAGAAATAACAGATTTCCACGCATGTAATTTCTTGGTGCTTGAGTAATTATCACGACCTAAGTGGGTGTAAAATTAATATTCACCTGAACCAGCCCGTATAGTATTGCTACACATAACATTTGCACAGTAACTGTAAGCACTTGACCAGGAATAGACGTAGAAATCCCAAGCACATTGGTCTAGCGCCGATTCGTTTCCATAACACCTGAAGTTTGAAAACAAAGTACTTGAGCAAAATAATCGGCTTCCCGCCAATGATGCTGCGGTGTATCCTAGCTGCCTGCAGACAATTGTAGCATCTTTTATATCCCAGCCGGAGGCGTAAATTGAACCCCAAATTCCTTGATAATAAACCTCCACTCGTCCCATATTTGACGAAGGAGATCCCCGTAGCCTAACCAGCATTCCTAGGTGTAAAAGAGAGAGGTAAGAAAAATTATATTGAACGTGAAACATAGTCGCCTTTATCTGAAGATTAACTGACACCGTTGGATTCGCCGCCACCTCAGGTTGGGGTTTTCCTTACAGAGAGCGAAAAGTTGTCTGTCGTTCATTTGCGGGAGAGAGACTATTGTTGGAAAAGCAAGTCTATTGAAATAGTAGAAGTAACGCAAGGACCAACTGCTTGTATGTGTTGTTAAGATTTGTTCACCCAATCCTACTGAAGTGTTAAAATTATAAAGCCAAACTAAATTCTCTGTCCACATCGACCAAGATTCTACTTTTGGAATGAGAAAATCACAGAAAATAGCCAGCTTAAGGGATGGTCTCGATTGCCTTAAAATTCCAGCTCTCGTTTACAATCAGTCAGGGGTTACATGGGACTTCAAAGCTTGTGGAAGTGAATCTGTTTTCTGAGGTACTAAATAGGTACGCAACACAATATCGGTTCGGCAAAATTCTTCTATAAGCCAGTTTTGTCGCATGTGGTGATACAACGCATAAGCGTTAAAAAAATCAAAAGTACTGAAATAACTACAAAAAAGACTTTCTCAAACACCGAACTCACATTGAGCTCAGATACTACATGATACGGAATCCTGGCGAAACGATGTGGTCCATATGAAAGTGACTTCATTCTCACTGACCCTAGTCATTAAGGAAGTAAATAGTACGTACGAAACAGCTTGCAATTTGAAGAAGAAATAACAGATTTCCATGCATGTATTTCTTGGTCCTTGAGTAATTATCACGACCTAAGTGGGTGCAAAATTGCTATTCACCTGAACCAGCCATACTATTGCTACACCTAACATTTGCACAGTTACTGTAAGCACTTGACCAGGAATAGACGAAGAAATCCCAAGCACATTGGTCTAGCGCCGATTCGTTTCCATAACACCTGAAGTTTGAAAACAAAGGTGGTAAAGTGATGGAGCAAAATAACTGTCTTCCTGCCAGTGATGCTGTGACGTATCCTAGCTGCCTGCAGACAGCTGTAGCATCTTTGATATCCCAGCCTGAGGCGTAGATGGAACCCCAAATTCCCCCATAATAAACCTCGACTCGTCCCATATTTGACGAAGGAGATCCCCGTAGTCTAACCAGCATTCCTGGGTGTAGAAGAGAGAAATACGAAAAATTACATCGACCGTGAAGTATAGTCGCCCTCATCTGGAAGTTAACACCGTTGGATCCGCTGCCATCTCAGGTTGCCATTTCTCTTGCAGAGAGCGGAAAGGTGTCTGTCGTTCATTTGTGGGAAAGAGAGACTGTTATTGAGAAAACAGGACTATTAAAATATTTTAAGTATGGCAAAGACCAATTGCTGGTAATGTATTGTTAAGGTTTGTTCATCCAATCGTTCTGAGGTATTCCGTAAAATTATAAAGGGTTGTTTCACCTAAAACATTAGAATTCCTTCAGAAATACAGTTTAAACCACGTAAATCTTATCAAACCACCCACTACAAATTAACCACTTACCGTTGGGTAAGGAAACCTTCCCAAAGCCATCTGTAGTGGAAATAAAAGAGAGAGATTTATCACAATCGAGTTTAATTTGTTTAATAAAAAACGATAACTCCAAGTAAAAGACCTTGGATATTTTCTTTACCTCAAGAAGAGACACGCCAAGACTCCAGAGTTCCGAACGAATGCTGTATTCATCTCCTTGTATGCGTTCAGGCTGTGAGAGAAGATTTGAGAGCAATGAATAGCAAAGTAAGTCAAGCGGGGTGTTCATTACGTACCGGAGAGCAGGGGATTCTCTGGCTACTTTTACGCTAAATTCTCCGGCTTACTTTCGATGGCCTGACCCATTTTTATCCAGAGGTCGACAACATTCCCCTGCTACTACATTGTTTATAAAAACCCTTGTCAAAGTGTAAGCGAGAAGCGCATAATGAAAGTCTTTTACGAAGAGAGAATCGGGGTAAGAGATTGCATTTCACCCATAGAGGGCTTCTCTCAGACAGCAGTCCATGTTCATTTACTTTTAGATCTGTTCAACACATTTTCGAGAGTGGGGAGGGGGAGGGATAGGTTTCCTGTGTCATGAAGTTTGAGCATGTGGATAATAGTGAACAATGGTTTCCGTTTTCGGCTGTCGGTAACCTCCCTTCAAATGCGCCGTCTATTGGTCCTCGCCTAAATAATCAAGCAACGCGCGAGACAGTGTAATATTATTCTGTGCAAATCAGATGCGACGATTTCTTACGAAAGATAAACGAAAAAATTAGAAAAAATCTAACTGTACCTACGATGAACAAGAAACAAAGCGCAAACGAATCTCTCCCGTATGCTGCTGTTGTTAAAATCATAAACTTCAAAAAGTCCTTTAACTTACCGCCATGTAAGCATGAGTTCCAACGTAAGTTGTAGCAATTGAATTGACCAGCTGTGAGGAAAGAAACGATTTTGTAAAATGAAATTCCGACAATAAAAAAATGAGCTTATACATATTTTTTTCATCACAGTGTTCTGATTCATTGATAGTTACGAAAACGAAGACCCCGAATACGAAGACCTAAGAATCCCTACGAAAATGAAGACCCCCTACCAAAACGAAGACCCATTACGAAAACAAAGACCCATTACTAAAACACCATTACTCCCTGTGGTTTTCGCCGGCAAAGAATTCAGGTGTCTTGTTTCTGTATTGCTTTATTGTTTTTATTGTTTCCGTAATGGGTCTTCGTTTTCGTAGGGGTCTTCGTTTTCGTATCTACCTGATTCATTTACCTGTCGACTGACACCAAAGTCACATAATTTTACTTGACCTCTTGTGCTCACTAAAATATTCGAGGGTTTCACATCTACAATAAGAACACGGATGGAGTCATTAGTCTGACAGTTAAAGGCTCTGTAAAAACGTAAGAGAACGAAAATCTGTATAAATCTGATCAATCAATTCATGAGTGCCATGTATTAACAACCTCTGTGCATAATTTTCAGCTCCCACAAATAAAGCAGTCCTTTGACCACCTATAAAACATGAAAGTTAGAATGAAGTTACATAAATTTACATGTAGTTTATGAACTGTTTAAGAGACATTTGATGGAAAAGTTCAAAAAGATTTTAAGAGCTCTCACCGAGACTGCAATTCTTCCCAGAACTGGTTCAGGTATGCAGCCATACTGGTCTAAAGAACCTCCTGAGGAGATGCAGATAAAATGTTAGTAAATTTGGATCTCTTTAGATTTGTATGGTGTTCACCTCAAATGGAAAGTAGGGAAATTCTTGTTGTCTGTTTTCGGCAAAGTTTCGTTGCTTTTTATTGGTGGTTAACAAAAGATCTTGGGCTACTTTTGTACAAGGTTGGTTTGGGTGTAATAGCAGAAGTGTGGTTTTGAAATAGAGAACACACCCAGCTACAGTAATAGGCTTTAAAAGCCTTGGTATTTAACAAAGTGCAGAAGCAGTGACTATACAAAATACGTGATTTTTAAAGAATATTAACTTAGCTCTGTGAGCTTCAAGGAGCAAAGAAATTAATTTGTAAAAATGTAAATGCCTATTATACAGCCCTTACCANCAAGACTCCAGAGTTCCGAACGAATGCTGTATTCATCTCCTTGTATGCGTTCAGGCTGGGAGAGAAGATTTGAGAGCAATGAATAGCAAAGTAAGTCAAGCGGGGTGTTCATTACGTACCGGAGAGCAGGGGATTCTCTGGCTACTTTTACGCTAAATTCTCCGGCTTACTTTCGATGGCCTGACCCATTTTTATCCAGAGGTCAACAACATTTCCCTGCTACTACATTGTTTATAAATACCCTTGTAAAAGTGTAAGCGATGATTAAGCGCATAATGAAAGTCTTTCACGAAGAGAGAATCAGGGTAGGAGATTGCATTTCACCCATAGAGGGCTTCTATCAGACAGCAGTCCATGTTCATTTACTTTTAGATCTGTTCAATACATTTTCGAGAATGGAGAGAGGGAGGGATAGGCTTCCTGTGTCATGAAGTTTGAGCATGTGGGTAGTAGTGAACCGCAATGGTTCCCATTTTTGGCTGTCGGTAACCTGCCTTCAAATGCGCCGTCTATTGGTCCTCGCCTAAATAATCAAGCAACGCGCGAGACAGTGTAATATTATTCTGTGCAAATCAGATGCAACGATTCCTTATGAAAGATAAGCGAAAAAAAATAGAAAAAATCTAACTGTACCTACGATGAACAAGAAGCAAAGCGCAAACGAATCTCTCCCATATGCTGCTGTTGTTAAAATCATAAACTTCAAAAAGTCCTTTAACTCACCGCCATGTAAGCATGAGTTCCAACGTAAGTTGTAGCAATTGAATTGACCAGCTGTGAGGAAAGAAACGATTTTGTGAAATGAAATTCCAACAATAAAAAAATGAGCTTTATACATTTTTTTTTATCACAGTGTTGTGATTCATTTACCTGTCGACTGACACCAAAGTCACATAATTTTACTTGAACTCTTGTGCTTACTAAAATATTCGAGGGCTTCACATCTACAAAAGAACACGGATGGAGTCATTAGTCTGACGGTGAAAGGCTCTGTAAAAACGTAAGAGAACGAAAATCTGTATAAATCAGATCAATCAATTCATGAGTGCCATATATTAACAACCTCTGTGCATAATTTTCAGCTCCCACAAATAAAGCAGTCCTTTGACCACCTATAAAGCATGAAAGATAGAATGAAGTTATATTTACAGGTAGCTTATGAACTGTTTAAGAGACATTCAATGGAAAAATTAAAAAAGATTTTAAGGGCGCTCACTGAAACTGCAATTCTTCCCAGAACTGTTTCAGGTTTGCAGCCATACTGGTCTAAAGAACCTCCTGAGGATATGCAGATAAAATGTTAGTAAATTTGGATTTCTTTAGATTTGCATGGTGTTCACCTCAAATGGAAAATAGTGAACTTCTTGTTGTCTGTTTTCAGCAAAGTTTCGTTGCTTTTTATTGGCGGTTAACAAAAGATCTTGGGCTACTTTTGTACAAGGTTGGTTTGGGTGTAATAGCAGAAGTGTGGTTTTGAAATAGAGAACACACCCAGCTGCAGTAATAGGCTTTAAAAGCCTTGGTATTTAACAAAGTGCAGAAGCAGTGACTATACAAAATACGTGATTTTTAAAGAATATTAACTTAGCTCTGTGAGCTTCAAGGAGCAAAGAAATTAATTTGTAAAAATGTAAATGCCTATTATACAGCCCTTACCATCCATATATTCTGTACAAATAGATATCCTGAGAAAAATAAACCAAACAAAACATCGATACGTCCCCAGACTCCATACGAAAGAACCTCAACACGTCCAGCAAATGTCACGTTGGAACCAGTTAAACGGATGCCAACATCTAATAAATTGGATGCAAGTTTTTCAGTCAATGAGCAAAAGTTTTCGCTTCAATGTTATCTCTCAAAAAACAGAGGTAAAACAATATTTGGTCGTGTACTAGCCGGCTGCTTGCTAGCTGCAACATTGCAATTACCCGTTCTCTCTACAGCAAGCGAGTGCTTTTATCGGTCATTTGATCACTCTCGTCAGTGTCTAACCCATTACCTAACTGGCCCCGGTGACGGGATGAATGAGAAGGGAAATGCGGCAGCCCTCCTCCTCCACAAGTCAGGAATATATGGAAATGATCTAGAAAAAAGCTTAGGATTCAAACAGAAACAAAGAGAAAATTCCATAATAACACGATAGGCGTAATTTCAAAAAAGCCATTTAGCTACCGAGTTTATATTTGATATATCACAATGTGTGTATAAATATGTACTTATGCATATGTATATTTTATAAATATAATCAAATGTTGCTCAATAATCTAAACAGCAAGTAAAAGCTGTTGAATCCGTCAAATATCTCAAGGGTCTATTGCTGTCCGAAAAGTTGCCTTTTGAGCATTTTTCCGACTGGTTCAAGCTCATTGGAATATTCTTTCAAAATTAATACCCACCAGAATAGTACAGCACAAGCCTCATGAACGTCAATGCTGATAACGAGATCATCTTTTCTGACACTTACAACTCTTGCGGCACCTAAAGGAGATTGAAGCGTATCGTTTGCGTCAACTCATTTAAACAAAAAAGCGTATGATGCAGAAAAGTGGGTTAATCAGACAGCGAAGTAAACAGCCCACACAAGATACTCTCAACAATGACCTTATGAAAGGAAATTCCAAACATTTTGATCCCCTGTTCGTTACGTGTTTTAGGATCATGATGT